AGCATCATTACCTCTCCACTCAATGCCATCAAGAATATCAGTAGGTAACTGTTGATAAGTAGCTTCAGTATCTACTGTCAATGGAATATCTTTACCTTGATACTTCGCAAATATTTTATGAAGTTTTGGTTTGAATTTTCCTCCATGAAATGCAAGTAGTATGAAGAAATATGCATGAATCGAAGTTGCATTACCTCTATTAACCATAGCCTTTTATTATACTTAAGTGTAGCTGACATATGCCAACCACATACTCTTGTATAAAAATGAACTGCGTTTCCTATTTCAATATCAATGGGTAGCAATGGAGATCCTATTAGCATTGCATGTATCAACAATTTCATGCTTTAACTTATCATTTTCTATTTTCATGTCTTCTTTCCTTTTCTCACTATCTTTTTTGTTTTTCCACTTCTTTCATTTGTTCATTCTCTTTCTGTGTTTAGTATCAGCAGTGTGTACATGTACATCTTTACGTAATGGCTTATCATTACAACCAGCCCAACTAAACACACAATCTACTGGCTCTAATGGACACTCATTGATATGAGCAGTGAGACTACCTTGTGGCATTTTAGTAGACACACATTTATTGGGACAAGTAACAGGATACTGCCTGCATTCCTCATAATGATCCTTTGTAATAGAGAGGAACGTACCTTTACTCCTGCAGTATTGGCATTGAAATGGACGTTTAGGACATTCTTTATCTTCATGATACTTACGATATCTATTTTGCTTTTTCTCTCAACATATACTATATCGAGACCTTACTTCTTCATATTAAAAAACCCATTGGTATAAGAGAGAGGTTATATGCAGGAGAAACTTGCTAGTCACTCCCCTATCTTAAGTAAATATTAATTAATTAATTTAAAACAGCAAATAATGTAAACTGTATATGCAAACTACAATTCAAAAGAAATTTTAATTGTAACACGCTGAAATCGAATGCCGGCAGGATTAGGACCCCTGGAAAATGTGCCTACTTTTATTTTAATTACCCCTTCTTCTAGATCAGTATTATCGTCACAGTCACTGATGTTCTTAAGAATATCATGAGGTAAGTATTTGTAAGGAGCTTTAACGTCTTCCATTAATGGTATCTTAGCAAATCCATCATCTGCAATTATCTTGGGAATTTTTGGTTCGTATTTTTCAAATTTTCCTTCATGAAATGCAAGTAACAGGAAAACATCTTCAGTAGTAAACTTCTTGTTCCCTCCCTTCACTATAGCTGACATGTGTACTCCATGCTCACCAACCCCAGTATAAAAGTGAACTGGTTCATTTTTTCTTGCAATTTTTATTGGTAACAATGGATAATCAGGTATGGCATAGCGAATTTGTCTCATTTCTTTTTTTATTTTGTCATTATTCTCTCTAATTTCTTTTTTCATTTCCTCATTTTCTTTCTTCATTTCCTCATTTTCTTTCTTCAATTGTCCACAGGCTACAGCTAATAGTGTCATGTGTTTAGTATCAGCAGTGTGTACATGTACATCTTTACGTAATGGCTTATCATTACAACCAGCCCAACTAAACACACAATCTACTGGCTCTAATGGACACTCATTGATATGAGCAGTGAGACTACCTCGTGGCATATTAGTAGACGAACATTTATTGGGACAAGTAACAGGATACTGCCTGCATTCCTCATAATGATCCTTTGTAATAGAGAGGAACGTACCTTCTTCCCCACAGTATTGGCATTGAAATAGACGTTGAGGACATTCTTTATCTTCATGATCCTTAAGATATCTACGTTGCTTTCTCTCTTGACATTTCTCATATCGACACTTTGCTTCTTCATATTGACATTCTCCTTCTCTCTTCTCTTTATTAAGATGAGTAGACATATTCTTCAATTCTCCTTTCCATTGACATCCTTTCTCCTTATTACTGCAGTAGACTTCCAATCCATTGATAATACGTAAACACTTCTTATCGACAAATGATTGATATTCCTCCTCTTTACACATAGGACAGGATCCGTTACTAGCTTTTACTCTCTCAATACAAGACCCACAGAAATTATGTCCACAGCAGCTCACCAGATGAGGATCTGTCAAGATATTAAGACAAACTGGACACTTTAGATCATTAGGAAGCTCCTCAACAAAGGAAAGCTCTTCTTTACTAAACTGAGCCATTGCTACCAGCCACTCCCTTGATCTTGTGTACAGTTACTGTATCCAATGGTAACAGTTAGTGTATAATGTTACTTATTGATATTAAACATATTCATTTACCCTACTAGTCTATAATTATACTGAGGCCTGACACACCCATTGTTATTTGATATCTCCTCATTATTGTTAATCATTTCTTCATTGCTACACACACCAGTGTGTGCAGTATCTTATTTTAATGCTCTACTAGTAGCTTGCAATTTAAATTAATAATTAAGTGTTTAATATCTTGTCGTGTACAAAATAGCAGTAAGCAGTTTTTTTTAATATTTGGCATGTCACCAGTCAGTCTTATTATAATACATACCATTAATCATCCTGTCATTATTGTACTCTTATATAGATGTACACCAATAGTTCGTTGCACTACCCCACTTCATGTATAATTACATGTATATTCTATTGCTTATTATTTTATTAACTATTATTTATTCTTAAGGTGATGGTACATTGAGGTTATGGGATGTCTCTCAATCACTGAGCACTGGTACTGTTAATGATGGAGGGAATGAGGTACTCTCTTGCAGCTGGAATAAATATGAACAAGTAACAATAATAATTGATTGTTTATTCTAATAGCACTATAATTATTGTTGGAATTAGCTCAATTCTTTACCAAAATTGCTATTTAATTCTTTTCTTAATGCATATTAATATCTTGTTCAATTTTAAAAAATTTAATTGATTCCAATCACAAATTCTTGAATTTATAAGTATTCAAAGAAGCATTCACAATTTAACTGAAGACCTTTTTTGTTTTAGAATTTGCTATGCTCAGCTGGTACAGACAACACAATAAAGTAAGTATTCATTACACAGAATATTTAAATTGAAAATTGCACTTTTCTTGCTGTAAAATCTTTTAGCCTAACACAATTTATTTTATTATTTATTACAGGAGTCCATGTGAGTAGAAGTAGACTTCTACTCATCATGGACTCCTGTTTATTATTCATTATTATTTTTTTATTATTTATTATTTCTTTATTATTATTAGATTGTGGGATATAAGACAGTTTACTGTGCCATTATTGATAATGACTGGTCACTCACAATCAGTTAGACAAATCAAGTTTGATCCACACACTCCGAGCTACCTAGCATCATGTTCCTATGACTTCACTGTCAGGTATATGAACACTTATTGTATTAATAGGACATTTTGTTATTAATATTATATTGTATATTGTTTTAATTTGATGTTGAGGATAATAAATATTGTTTATTTTTTAAGTTTTAAAACAAAAAAAAGTGCTAAAATTAATTTATTTAATATGGTCAAGACTCAAAATAAAGGAAATTTGCTATTCTCCAAAAAACCACCATATAGGATGTATATGTAATAATTACAGTGTTCTTCTGTCTTTCAATAGACTGTGGGATACAGCTAATCCATTGCATCCTCTCATACAAACTATCTCCCATCATAATGAGTTCACGTATTCTGTTGATTTCAGTGTTTACCAGAAAGGACTTGTAAGTCTTCTCACTCCTTCTCACCTCCACCCCTGTCTATATTTAAAAATTAGATTTTTATGAATTTTTAAAGTTACTCAAAAATAAAGCCAAAGTCCCTGTACAGTACAGGTTCATTGGCCAATATGTTTTCAAAAATGACAGGGAAGGAATTCTTTATTTTTATAAT